CTGGTTATCTCCCTAGTTATCTCCCTGGTTATCTCCCTGGGAACCATCCTTTACCATTATTACCCAGCCGTCATTTCCCTTTGACTTCCTTATAGATAGATAGATATAGATAGATAGATACTGTAGATAGATAGATACTGTAGATAGATACTGTAGATAGATAGATACTGTAGATAGATAGATTACGTAGATAGATAGATACTGTAGATAGATAGATACTTGTCGTAGATACTGTATAGATAGATACTGATAGATAGATAGATATGTAGATAGATAGATAGATACTGTAGATAGATATACTGTATAGATACGGTAGATACGATAGATAGATACTGTAGATAGCTAGATAGATAGATAGATAGATACTGTAGATAGATAGATAGATAGATACTGTAGTAGATAGATAGATAGTACTGTAGATAGATACTTATATTTGATAGGAGGGCAATTTCAGATAGAACATGAAAATAAATGGAATCAGATAACAATTAGTCAAAATCAGAATAACAGTCCGTTTATAAGTTTTCATTTCCATCCAATACCTATGAAAAACTTGTTTTTACTTTAGCAGTACGTTGCAGAGAGGCCGACTGAAGTCCACCGGAAAAACCGACACACGATAAACTTTAACATCTGTGCAAACCATGAATACTAACGATAGCTTCACACACACGGGAGAAACTCAGGAAATTAGAATCTGATCAAAAGTGAATTCATTCTTTTGGAGTACAACTAAAAATGTGAGACCAAAAAAATTTGTTACCAGATAATGTGTTTTCAAAATTTGGGAGACATAATATGGCACACTGCGGGTTTATTTATTGCTTTCTTTCCAGACATGTTTTACTTTGTAATATTCATACCACATTATAACAAAATAAAGCCCTTGCGATTTCTCACTTTAGACTGTAATGACATGAGTCCGCCCATGTATTTCGTTATTCTAATCCAGAAGTAACTTGGAGATGATATTTTCATTTTCAAAGTTTCACGTCAAGTTGGATTTAAATACCAACTTTTCCACCTCCTACATTAACAAAAAATCTGTTTTAGTGTAGATAAGAAGAAGTAAAAACAGAAAGTGCTTACACTAACCATTGCACGAACCAAACCCAGAGCACTCATCAACTCCAATGGAGTGTGTTCTTTCTGCCAATAACTGGTCAAATGCAGCCAATCAAACAACCAGCCATTCCACCTCACAACAATCTACCTATGTTTACATGTTAGTAGTGGTAGGGACAAACCGGAGCACCTGCAGGGAACCTACACAGAAACATGGGGAGAACATGCACATCTCCATTCTTGCTGTGAAACTCAAGCCCTAGACCGCTGCCCCTCTCGCCCCCATACATTAAGGGAAAAGAATCTGTACATGGGTAAATATGCAGAACTAGCTCAGCAGTCCTATTTGAGGGGGGGTTTGTTTTGGAAGTGTAAGTCCTTTAACTAACTTTGATGGTTTTTCAAGAAATCTAATGATGTTTATTAATATGTCATTATTATCGAAGTAACTAAGGTTCTAAGCATAAACCTCCCTGTGACTCCCATGAGTGGCAACAGAGGACTGTATGCAGTAACCAAAGGAGCACCATCCAAGCTAACCCGTTAGCATTCTATAGCTTGCAACTAACTGCTTTTTGCTGTAATTTTATAACTTATACATCACGCATAAAAGCTATATAATACTTCTCCTATGAATAACATTTAGTTTTTTCTGAGTATTATAATACCAGAATTCAATGAAATGAGAGCCGACAAAATGACTGCTCTGGGAGGTCTAGAAGCTTCCAAGTAAATCTGGGAGTATTTGTAGTCTTCCAACTACAGGTTCACATGCTAGACACCGTCAGCGCCAGAAAAAGCCAGACAAGTCCTTTTCCAATTAACTCTAGTGGGTGTATAAAACACAAGGACGTGGCTCAGAAAACCAGTAATAGCCTTTTAATGTAATTTTTTATATTTTTTTACAGTATGAACCGAATAGCGACTCTCATCGGCTGCCCATGGCAACCTTACAGGGCAAACGCTTTCAATTGATTATACTCTGAGCAATTAAGCGCGCCCAACATACGGTTATTCAGCAACACCGCTATAAGTTAACAAACTAAATAGCAACACTGGAAATTGGAAAACGGTAAAAAAACAAACGGACATAACACTAGTGATTGGGAAAGCCCTGCACCGGCTGGAGGAGGGTATCACTGCGGGATCTCACTTTGCCATCGTCCACTGGATCTGTAAAACCGTCTGCATGCAGGACCACGACAAAGTGATCAAAGAAACACGTCACCTCTATGCAGGATGTGGGGGCTTTTTGATGTTGGAACATAAAGATTAGCAAAGACTCATTGAGCTGCTTTGGCACTTTAGGTAATGCATTGTTGGAAACTTTTATTTTGTGAATGTGCGTGAATGTTTTAATGCATTTGATACGATTTTATTGTAAAGCACTTTGGTTGCGTTGATTGTTGAAAAGGGCTCTATGGATAACGATTGGTTATAATTCCCACAGTGGAGAAATGTCAGTGTTGCATCATCGGTTACAGAACAGTAGGAATGAGGAGCCCACAACACAAGATAAATGATCCAAAACCTCTAAGGGAATAAAACTTCTACTTTCAGCCAACAAAATAAGTAATTCATGTTTAAAAATAGGAGGACTGTAATTTAGACAGTAATAAGTGCTTTAGAGCCTGTTGCTGTTGACAAACCTTTAGCTTTTTTACTCCTTGCTTTTCTGACTCCATAATAATGCGGTTCCCTCTGGTCCTCGCTGCGCATGTGACCTAAATGTGAGTACAGTACTAAATCCATCCATCCAGCCATTTTACTTCCCCAATAATCCATTTCCCGTGGTTGGCGGGGCAGTCACCAGCACCAGCCCCTCCACTGATCCTCGCTGCAGGTGCTGAGTCCACAGGACTGAAGAACATGCAGAGGGGGACTAATAGCCAGGCAATGTGGGTTAAGGTGTGTTGCCCAAGGACAACAACGACAAGCGGGTCTTTGGTGGTGTGATTTCGAACCCACGACCTTCCAGGTCCAAAGGCCAAAGGCCTCAACCACCTGAGCACCTGCCGTCCCGAGAAGATGTAATTTGAATGTTTTTTGTTGTTTGTCAATGGCACAGACTGGTTGCCTCGCTCCTGTCAGTGTGCCCCAGGGCAGCTGTGGCTACATTAACCACTGTGTTTGGAGAGAAAGAATAATGAAGTGTCTTTGAGCGTCCAAAACACTGCTGTATAAAACCAATGCATTAAAAAAATGATAAAAATAAAGTGTTTTTATATAAATACAGTTTTGCATATTGTGTGTCCATGGAAAACATGCCAACACTGAGAGAAAAATAAAGTTTTGCAGAGATACTTTGTTGGCAGAGGAAAGACACTTTGTAGGTCACAGCAGAGAGAAGTGGGCCACAAGGATCCACTGTTTCACGTTTCCTCAGATCATTTCAGACTTGGCACTTGGAGACTTGTTAAGTGATTACATCTCGGGTTGAGCAAGTTCAGCCAGAGGAAAATACATGTGTTAAGACATAAAATAATTCTGAGGAGATCTCCATGGCAACGAGCGAGCGGCAGACTCTAATGGAGAGAATTACAGTGAGTCTCTTTATGAATGCAAAGTGCTGCAACAGAACTTCACAGAGGTCCATTGTTGTAACGCGCTTCACCTTTTTGTGTTTGCATTTTTCCTGCTTTTTACAGTGTGCTTCAACAACATTTACAACATCAAATAACTGCTCTTAAAACATCCAACAAACCTTTAATTAAAGTCAAAAGAAAATACTTTTATGTCTTGTGTGCATCATGGTGATTAGTTCAGAGGCCTCTCTGGTCTCTCTCTCTGGTCTCTCTCTCTGGTCTCTCTCTGGTCTCTCTCTCTGGCCTCTCTCTCTGGTCTCTCTTTGGTCTCTCTCAGGTTTGCTCTGGTCTCTCTCAAGTCTCTCTCTCTGGTCTCTCTCTGGTCTCTGGTCTCTCTCTCTGGTCTCTCTCTGGTCTCTCTCTGATCTCTCTCTGGTCTCTCTCTGGTCTCTCTCTGATCTCTCTCTGGTCTCTCTCTGATCTCTCTCTGGTCTCTCTCTGGTCTCTCTCTGATCTCTCTCTGGTCTCTCTCTGGTCTCTCTCTGGTCTCTCTCTGGTCTCTCTCTGGTCTCTCTCTGGTCTCTCTCTGGTCTCTCTCTGATCTCTCTCTGGTCTCTCTCTGGTCTCTCTCTGATCTCTCTCTGGTCTCTCTCTGGTCTCTCTCTGATCTCTCTCTGGTCTCTCTCTGGTCTCTCTCTGGTCTCTCTCTGATCTCTCTCTGGTCTCTCTCTGGTCTCTCTCTGATCTCTCTCTGGTCTCTCTCTGGTCTCTCTCTGATCTCTCTCTGGTCTCTCTCTGGTCTCTCTCTGGTCTCTCTCTGGTCTCTCTCTGGTCTCTCTCTGATCTCTCTCTGGTCTCTCTCTGGTCTCTCTCTGATCTCTCTCTGGTCTCTCTCTGGTCTCTCTCTGATCTCTCTCTGGTCTCTCTCTGGTCTCTCTCTGGTCTCTCTCTGGTCTCTCTCTGGTCTCTCTCTGGTCTCTCTCTGGTCTCTGGTCTCTCTCTGGTCTCTCTCTGGTCTCTGGTCTCTCTCTGGTCTCTCTCTGGTCTTCCCGTAGCCCTCAGTCCTGCTCATCTATGTCCTCTGCAGCTGTATTTTACAGTGTGTTCACGGCTTTTGACAGCTGCAGCAGCACTCAGACCCAGACTAAACATAGATAACATACATTTACTTTTCTAAACCAAGTCTATAAAAGAACTGGACCAGGATGATGTCTGTGCTTCACAATGAAAGTCAAAAGTACTGTTCAACACTTGCTTTACGGCTGTAACCTCACATGACATACAGTAATATCTGCTGATGGAGAGATGTAATAATCCACGGTCTTTTTACAAAAACAAAATAAAAAAGTGATGAAGTTGTTTTGCCATACGTCTGACAAAGAACGAAAGGCCACATTAAACTGGAATTTGTTTGGGTTTTTGGAGCAGAAACACATTTATGTTCTCAAAAAAAGCTTATTTGCTGAATGCTGGAGGCTCTGGCGGTGTCAAAGTGACGACAAGAGATTTACAAAAACAAAACCAAAAGAACAAAACTTTTATTTGTTTAATTTCCCGGTGCTGACGGACATGTGGGGCCTTCAGGGGCTACACTGTGGCAGACAGAGACAGGGCGAAGAGCAGAAACACCTGTACAGACTGGAAAAAGGCATTGACTCAGTGGCTAGTGTGGAGCTTTAATTGTCTCTCCGTTTCTGTGTAGGTTTCCTCCAGGTGTTCCGGTTTCCCCTACCACTGAAAACATGTGTAATAACTCTGACGTGCGCCTTCTGTACGAGACAAACGGCAAATACAACAGTTTCAAAGCGCTTTGTGACTCATAAATAAATGTCACTAAATTACTTGAACGTCAGAGTCAATATTGGCCTATAGTGAGTAAGAGAGTTCCATATGTTTAAAGCTGGGGTACCTGACATTTCCTCAAAGCTTGTACATTCTGTTTGTCTTACAGAAGTCTTTACATAAATCTTGTAAAAGTTAAATGTCTATTGTATTAGAACATGTTATATTCTACTATTTGACACTTTTCTGTCTACACTCAGGCCAAAACTACATGCATGACTGAACTATTGACAGAACCAGCCTGTTTCGGAGCCAGGAACTAGTGATTTTAGGGACATAGTTACAAGTCAAGTATCCGAAACTACTCCATACAAAGGGACAGCTCTCTCCTCAGCTGCCCTGGGGCGGAATCACGGGACAGAGTCTGCTGAAATGTGCCATCGGACTCTCCAACCACTATTTACGCATCGCCTCTGCTCAGACTGCTGCCCCCACTACCCGGCAATGGATTAAGTGGAAGAAAAAGGATAAATGTATGCATTCAATTCAAGCCAATACAATTTATTCTTGTATACAACATTTTACAATAGACTGAATTAACTTAAGTTAGAAGGGGCGGGGGCTCATTGTTGACAACTTTTTTTTAATCTTTTGGTTCCTGGATCATCACCACTGTCCCTGGACCTTCCTAGATCGGCAAAAAAATAACTCTTGAAGATAATTCCTAGAACGTGACTTCCTGTACTTACAATGGCTATAAAAATAATTCTGATTCAGAAAACAGTATAATCGGTATAATATGGTCAGTACAATTCCATTTTACGATATAACTTAATCCCTCTGGACTCATCTGAAATGAACTTCTCCATTAACTCCGCTGTAATTCTTTCTACACGTCTCAATAATAAATCAACGTATTACTTCCCTACAGTCCACTACCCGTAACAGCAGGCACATATTTCTCGTTTTCCATGGTGCAGGCTCATAAATGTGATTTCACCTCCAAGTCAGAGCTAATTTCACTATTGACTTCTTTCCTCAGTCGATAAATCATGCTCCAGCTGCGCTCCGGAGCCAATGGTGCGTTTGGCTGCGAGGTTTTGCCCAAATCTATGGCCGATAAAAATGTCACCAGGCTTCAGGACACAATTCAACCGGTTTAGACGATAGGAAATGGAGGTTTCAATAAGAGAAACGCAATATTGACAAAGAAGTCTGGATAAATATTTGGTCTGTTTGGGCTGTCAGAGGATACTTCTCTTTCGCTCTGAGTAATAATGACAAGTTCAGTTCAGACCAAGAAGAGAAAAAGAAAACCAGGGTGGCCTGAATATTATGTCATGTGGACCACGGATATATGTGTATATCCTGGACAAACTCACATCTATGCTGGACTATGACTGTCGCCCCCTGCAGGACACTCTGGAGAGCAGCTTCAGTGACAGACTTATTCACCCTCGCTTTGTGAAAGAGAAGTTCCGCAGGTCGTTCCTTCCTGCTGCTGTCAGACTGTACAATGAGAACTGCTGAGCCTGCACATGTCAATCATCTGTAAATAGTAAATACTGTAATCATGTGAAATGTGCAATACTGCAACTTCATAATGTTCACTGAATGTCACTTTATCTACATACTACCCTGCTCTATATGTATACAACCTTACACTAGATATACATGTATAGACAGATAAATATAGATAAATATATAGATCTATGTAAAGGATCTATCTATAGTACGCAGGATATTATCGGAAAGTAAGTACCGACAGGGCGAAGCGGACCCCGACGCGCTTCCGACCTGCGTAATATACACTGTCTGCTTATCATACGGCTTTGTACCGACAGAACACACAAATGTTCCTCTGCAAATGTTCCTAAAATGTCCCGGAATCTACGTCTGGGTTTTTCGCGATCGCTTTTTCTCGCATTAAAACAGTATTTTTTTGTCATGAAAACGTTAACAGATACTTCTAGGCAATATGAGCATTAGCTTCAGCCTACTCCTTTTCGGTCTTGGTTTCTGTTGTAATTTTCTGTCCTGACGATGTGTGGAATGTTCAAAGTGACCCAAATAATCTTCATTCATTCGTTGAAAACCTCCGTGCACGTGTGTTTAGAACGTATATGTATAATGTATTCTTCCATTAACACCTAAATGTGTTGATTGATTGGTGTTTGCGTTTATTGAGCGTGGCTAGCTCTGATAAAGACAGTAGTAGCGACAAAGTGGCCGGACTACTTGTGGAGTAATCTACACTTCTGAATTACAAGCAGAGAGTGCGTTGCCAAAGGGCAGCGGTAATACTGTAAATAGTGATATTGAAGCATTTACAGCTATATCTCAATTACAGCTACTCAAATTGTATATTTTGTGTGCTCCCTGTGTGCTCTTGCTTGTGAGGAGCAGGGAGGGGGGAGGTAGCGGGGGGTCTTGAGAATTGTTTTGCAGTGCCTTAACTTCTTTTTTAATGTTTTTAATGTATTTATTGTCTCGTTTTTAACTTTTGCATCTTTTAATTCTAGCCTATGTATGTATCTTTGTATGATTGCGAGCAAGGGACGAGTGCACAATTTCCTTCGGGATCAATAAAGTATATATCAATCTATCTATCTATCTATCTACCACTGTCGTGATTCAGCACCAGACTACTTTCCATCTGTCCTTGACAATACAATCATAACTTTCCCTAACGTATTAACATACCGTAAGGGAAAGTAAAAAGTGCAGGGAACTTACTTAAATATCAAAATACCGTTCAATAAAAGTTCAAGATTAGAAGTGCACAAACAACATGTCATTCACCAAAGTCCACCAATAGAATCTTTAGAAGGCATATTTAGACTTTGATCTCTTTTGTGGACATTGGTAAAGGCCACATTCAGATACATACAACATAAACACAGTGAGATTCTAATGAACTACAGCACAAAATTGTAAAATAATAATTCAGTTATAAGTGGAGGTATTCCCCAGAGCTGTTCATTTTCACAAATCTATCTGTGAACAATAATTTGCACTAACAGTTTATTCTTATTAGCATCTAATTACTCGCTGCATTGCAAATGTGTTGTAATTAGTGTTGGTATGTGTTATTGTCTGATTCGGCAGAACGTTAAAAATATCATGGTTCATGTCCAAACAATATGTTTATAGCCAATTATTAAGAGTTTATCAATATGGACATGTTAGCCACTTTACATTCATTTGCTGAGTGGTTAGCACTTGATTCTCAGCAAGAGTATCCTGGATTTAAATCAAAACAGGGCCTTTTAGAGTGGTGTTTGCATGTTCTCCCTGTGTCTGCGTTGGTTCAGGCGATCTGGTTTTCACTACCACTAAAAATATGTTCAACAGGTAAAATCCTCCTGCTCCAGAAATTCTGATCAGCCTGACGGAGGCTCTGCTGGTTCTACAGGATGGGACATGCAGAGAAGGTTCCTTATGGGAAATGTTTGTCATGAGTATAACTTTAAATGATTTACTTTAATTCACAGAACCAAAGTAAGTTATTTTGTGTGTTGCATTTATTGAAGGGGTGTTCAAACTTTAGTTCACCAGACTAGTTCAGGGGCCGACATCACAGACTAAAAAACTGTGTTGACTGGCTTTGGCAATCTGGAATGTCCAGGCCAGAGTTTGGACAGTCTTGATATACTGGGAAGTGTGCACAGTCCGGGGAGATGCAAGCTTCTGAGCCAACCCAGCAGGAGCACACCAGACTGCACCCATTTGTGCAGGCCCCTGTCTGTGACAGGGGCCTGCTGCAGGTCTGTGACAGGGGCCAGCTGCAGGTCTGTGACAGGGGCCAGCTGCAGGTCTGTGACAGGGGCCAGCTGCAGGTCTGTGACAGGGGCCAGCTGCAGGTCTGTGACAGGGGCCCGCTGCAGGTCTGTGACAGGGGCCAGCTGCAGGTCTGTGACAGGGGCCAGCTGCAGGTCTGTGACAGGGGCCAGCTGCAGGTCTGTGACAGGGGCCTGCTGCAGGTCTGTGACAGGGGCCAGCTGCAGGTCTGTGACAGGGGCCTGCTGCAGGTCTGTGACAGGGGCCAGCTGCAGGTCTGTGACAGGGGCCAGCTGCAGGTCTGTGACAGGGGCCCGCTGCAGGTCTGTGACAGGGGCCAGCTGCAGGTCTGTGACAGGGGCCAGCTGCAGGTCTGTGACAGGGGCCTGCTGCAGGTCTGTGACAGGGGCCAGCTGCAGGTCTGTGACAGGGGCCAGCTGCAGGTCTGTGACAGGGGCCCGCTGCAGGTCTGTGACAGGGGCCAGCTGCAGGTCTGTGACAGGGGCCAGCTGCAGGTCTGTGACAGGGGCCTGCTGCAGGTCTGTGACAGGGGCCAGCTGCAGGTCTGTGACAGGGGCCAGCTGCAGGTCTGTGACAGGGGCCAGCTGCAGGTCTGTGACAGGGGCCAGCTGCAGGTCTGTGACAGGGGCCTGCTGCAGGTCTGTGACAGGGGCCAGCTGCAGGTCTGTGACAGGGACCTGCTGCAGCAGCAAACCCTCCAGGTCCCTGATGCTCCGAGACCTGTCTGTCCACGTCCACGTCCAAGGCTGAGTCTGTACCTTCCGACCAACTTAAAAAAACTAAAAACAAACAGATCACTTCCCCATTTCCAGCAGCCTGACCCATAAAACCCACAAAAGACAAAACAAAGAATAGTGAAAGCTCGTCAGCCTTCACAGGTGTCCCCAGTGCCACACCAGACAAACTCAAATAAATCAAAATACAGAGAACAGAAGGTAGCAATGAATATCTCTGAGCCTCACACACAGCTCTGCAGCCAACCCGCGTCCCACGGCCTGGCTCCCACTGACCCTCCCACTGACCCTCCCACTGACCCTCCACTGACCCTGACCCCTCCCACTGACCCTCTCACTGACCCTGCCACTGACCCTCCCACTGACCCTCCCACTGACCCTCTCACTGACCCTCCCACTGACCCTGCCACTGACCCTGCCACTGACCCTGCCACTGACCCTCCCACTGACCCTGCCACTGACCCTCCCACTGACCCTCCCACTGACCCTCCCACTGACCCTCCCACTGACCCTCTCACTGACCCTCCCACTGACCCTGCCACTGACCCTCCCACTGACCCTCCCACTGACCCTCCCACTGACCCTGCCACTGACCCTCCCACTGACCCTGCCACTGACCCTCCCACTGACCCTGCCACTGACCCTCCCACTGATCCTGCCACTGACCCTGCCACTGACCCTCCCACTGACCCTGCCACTGACCCTCCCACTGACCCTCCCACTGACCCTCCCACTGACCCTCCCACTGACCCTGCCACTGACCCTCCCACTGACCCTCTCACTGACCCTGCCACTGACCCTGCCACTGACCCTGCCACTGACCCTCCCACTGACCCTCCCACTGACCCTCTCACTGACCCTGCCACTGACCCTGCCACTGACCCTGCCACTGACCCTCCCACTGACCCTCCCACTGACCCTCCCACTGACCCTCTCACTGACCCTCCCACTGACCCTCCCACTGACCCTCCCACTGACCCTCCCACTGACCCTCTCACTGACCCTGCCACTGACCCTCCCACTGACCCTCTCACTGACCCTCCCACTGACCCTCCCACTGACCCTCTCACTGACCCTCCCACTGACCCTGCCACTGACCCTGCCACTGACCCTCCCACTGACCCTCCCACTGACCCTCCCACTGACCCTCCCACTGACCCTGCCACTGACCCTCCCACTGACCCTCCCACTGACCCTCTCACTGACCCTCTCACTGACCCTGCCACTGACCCTGCCACTGACCCTGCCACTGACCCTCCCACTGACCCTCCCACTGACCCTCCCACTGACCCTCCCACTGACCCTCTCACTGACCCTGCCACTGACCCTCCCACTGACCCTCCCACTGACCCTCTCACTGACCCTCCCACTGACCCTCTCACTGACCCTCCCACTGACCCTCTCACTGACCCTGCCACTGACCCTGCCACTGACCCTGCCACTGACCCTCCCACTGACCCTGCCACTGACCCTCCCACTGACCCTCCCACTGACCCTCCCACTGACCCTGCCACTGACCCTGCCACTGACCCTCCCACTGACCCTCTCACTGACCCTGCCACTGACCCTCCCACTGACCCTGCCACTGACCCTGCCACTGACCCTCCCACTGACCCTCCCACTGACCCTGCCACTGACCCTGCCACTGACCCTCTCACTGACCCTGCCACTGACCCTCCCACTGACCCTGCCACTGACCCTGCCACTGACCCTCCCACTGACCCTGCCACTGACCCTGCCACTGACCCTCCCACTGACCCTGCCACTGACCCTGCCACTGACCCTCCCACTGACCCTCTCACTGACCCTGCCACTGACCCTCCCACTGACCCTCTCACTGACCCTCCCACTGACCCTCCCACTGACCCTCTCACTGACCCTCCCACTGACCCTGCCACTGACCCTGCCACTGACCCTCCCACTGACCCTCCCACTGACCCTCCCACTGACCCTCTCACTGACCCTCTCACTGACCCTCTCACTGACCCTGCCACTGACCCTGCCACTGACCCTGCCACTGACCCTCCCACTGACCCTCCCACTGACCCTCCCACTGACCCTCTCACTGACCCTGCCACTGACCCTCCCACTGACCCTCCCACTGACCCTCTCACTGACCCTCCCACTGACCCTCCCACTGACCCTCCCACTGACCCTCTCACTGACCCTCCCACTGACCCTCCCACTGACCCTCTCACTGACCCTCCCACTGACCCTCTCACTGACCCTGCCACTGACCCTCCCACTGACCCTCCCACTGACCCTCTCACTGACCCTCCCCACTGACCCTCTCACTGACCCTCCCACTGACCCTCTCACTGACCCTGCCACTGACCCTGCCACTGACCCTGCCACTGACCCTCCCACTGACCCTGCCACTGACCCTCCCACTGACCCTCCCACTGACCCTCCCACTGACCCTGCCACTGACCCTGCCACTGACCCTCCCACTGACCCTCTCACTGACCCTGCCACTGACCCTCCCACTGACCCTGCCACTGACCCTGCCACTGACCCTCCCACTGACCCTCCCACTGACCCTGCCACTGACCCTGCCACTGACCCTCTCACTGACCCTGCCACTGACCCTCCCACTGACCCTGCCACTGACCCTGCCACTGACCCTCCCACTGACCCTGCCACTGACCCTGCCACTGACCCTCCCACTGACCCTGCCACTGACCCTGCCACTGACCCTCCCACTGACCCTCTCACTGACCCTGCCACTGACCCTGCCACTGACCCTCCCACTGACCCTCTCACTGACCCTCCCACTGACCCTCTCACTGACCCTCCCACTGACCCTCTCACTGACCCTGCCACTGACCCTGCCACTGACCCTGCCACTGACCCTCCCACTGACCCTGCCACTGACCCTCCCACTGACCCTCCCACTGACCCTCCCACTGACCCTGCCACTGACCCTGCCACTGACCCTCCCACTGACCCTCTCACTGACCCTGCCACTGACCCTCCCACTGACCCTGCCACTGACCCTGCCACTGACCCTGCCACTGACCCTCCCACTGACCCTGCCACTGACCCTGCCACTGACCCTGCCACTGACCCTGCCACTGACCCTGCCACTGACCCTGCCACTGACCCTCCCACTGACCCTCTCACTGACCCTGCCACTGACCCTGCCACTGACCCTCCCACTGACCCTCTCACTGACCCTCTCACTGACCCTGCCACTGACCCTGCCACTGACCCTCTCACTGACCCTGCCACTGACCCTGCCACTGACCCTGCCACTGACCCTGCCACTGACCCTCTCACTGACCCTGCCACTGACCCTGCCACTGACCCTCTCACTGACCCTGCCACTGACCCTGCCACTGATCCTCTCACTGACCCTGCCTCTGACCCTCCCACTGACCCTCCCACTGACCCTCCCACTGACCCTGCCACTGACTCCTCCCACAGACACCGGCATCTCCCCAACACACGCACCAT